GAGAAGGAAAAAGTTTGGGGGCGCGGCAGCACCCGACACCCCCCGGGGGCTCCCCCCCCCCGTGCCCCCGGGGGGGAGGGGCGGTTGCCCTGAAGGTTTGCATGAGGGTAGACCAGGGACGGGCGTTGGCCCGCAACTCCGGCACAGGAACACGCCCCTTAAGCGCCAAGGCAGGAGGCGGGTTCAGGCTTGCTGCTGTAGGTTCCCGTGGGGTTGGTGTTAAATGACGTCGATGATCCCTCCCCAGGAAGAAGGGCGCCGACATGGTGATGACACTGGACACGGCCAGGAACCCGACGGCGGCTGGAAGACAGGGCCATTTCTCAGCTCGCGGGCGCCTTCCGCTCCGACCCGACTACATGAAGAACCGATGGGTCCCAGGGCAGAACAAGCAGGGCGACCGCAGGGAGGGACTGACCATTCCCTGCATCCGGTAAAAACTGTCCGCCCCCCCCTCCCGCCCCCTCCTTCCTGTCTCTTGATCTGGGCGTTCGTCTCAGATGGTATTTTCTCCTACATTCACACTACTCATCGCTCCTCCTTGGGATCTAACCGTACCTTAGTTTCTAGACCAAATTGTGCAGGTAAAGCCCTGGATGAGGTCTAGAATGTCACAACACTCGCCATCCGCGTGGGAAGGCAGTAACAGGCTTTCATCACACATGGGGCATGTCCTTTCTCAATATCACTGCTTTTGGTGACAAAGCATGCGGCCGGGCGGGGAAGGAAGTGAAGACACAGGGGCTGGGAGACGAGCAGGAAGCAGGGAGTGTAGGAAACTGGTCAGGTTCAGAGAGGAATCCGCAGAACAAAGACTGAGCCCTCCCTGGCAGGCCCGGTGCAAGGCCCGAACGTGAGCGTGTGCCAGGGAGCGGGGCGCCTGCGCCATAGTGACAGCAGGGAGGCCTGTCTTGGACCCCAGCGCTCACTGGCCTGCAGGCGTGTCCGGGGGGCCCGCCCGTGTCATTTAAAATGTTCCCCTCACATTGAAAAGAGTATGTTTGCCATGCTCCCTTTATGGCAGGGCCAATGGGGGGAAAGGGGGCATATGGGATACTTTCAACAATAAAGATTTTTTTAAAAAAGAGTAAAAGGAACAGGTAAAATTAATTTTAGCAATACATTTTATTTGGCCCAAATTATCCAAAAATAGGCATCAATATGGAATCAAGATAAAAAGTAACGAGATTTTACTTTTCTTCATACTAAGTCCTTTCCAAATCTGGTGTGTATTCTACCCTTAAAGCTGTGCACCGAATGTTCATGTTCTCTTTGAAATATGGCATTTCCCCGGCGGACAGACACGCCTGGCTTCCTGGAGTGGTCCCCGCGCCAGGGCGCAGCCTCAGTGTCCAGGCCAGCACCTCTGCCCGGCCTGGGCCCCAGGGAACGGCCGCTCTGAGCACTGCCCGCCCTCTCCTCGCTCACGGCACCCACAGGCCTAGCCTCTGTTTATTTTGGTCACTTCTTGGTCTGTCTTCATAAAAATCTAACTACAGATTCAGCCAGAGCTCCTGGCGGCATCGGGTTCCAGGAATGGTCCTAATCTAAAGCCACACACACAAGACCTTATCGAGAATTTAAGTGAGGTGCCCTCCCAGGCCTACCGCCCCCCCCCTCCCCCCCGCACCAGAGGCCCCAAATGCACATGTGGGGGGTGGAGGGTGGGGGATGTACCTTCCACAGTGAGACTAGGAGCCGGCCTGGGAAGTGTGGGAAGAGCTGCTCTGCACACAGTGACCCATCACACCAAGGGCCTCCCGGCTGGCAGCCCCGTTATAATCTCCCAGGAGCCCAAGGGGCCCACGGCTCATCAAAGGCCCAACTCTATGCCCCTGTTCACTGCCCGGCTCACTGGGACGGCAAGAGGCCTCCCAGACTCCCCTATCGTCCAGGTGCAGCTGAGGGCTCTGACCGATGACTCCTATCCCGTCAGCCCACGCAGGCTCCTGGTGAGCCCTGCAGCTAAGGCCAAGGTGATAAGATGAAGGGTTATCAGTGGGAAAAGCCGAGAGCCACTGTGCGGGCCACAGCTGGAGAGAGATAGCTGCACATCCCGACACCCAGGGCGACGCGGGGCGGGGGCCAGGGGGCTGGGCACGGACGTCAAGTGAACACGTCTCCATGCACATCTGCAACATGTCAGACAGCAGGTCCTGTTTTTAAGGTCCTGGTACAAATGACTTAAGATCGAAGTGTTCTGCTCAGGCAGTTCAGGGGGCATTTTCCGAAATTGCTGCAAAAGGTTGAAAATACTGTTATTCGAGTGGGTAGCTGAATTTTTGAAAAAGGTGCTGTTCTTTTTATATTCGTTTTCCTAAAAATTAACACATTAACAGTGGAATTCCTTCTCTTCAACTCGGCTTTCTTTGTTCTCTTGATTAACACACACACACACACACACACACACACACACACACAACTGCTCTTTATCTCCAGCACTTGACAGCCATGTGGCAACCTCTGGGACTGCCCTTATGAAGATAAGTTACAAACTGATGATGACCCCTCACTTCCTCTGAACCCCACGAATTCGGACGCCCAGACTGGCTTCAATATATCCTATCAAATGAGTTCTGAGGAAGTCAGATGTCCTCATAAGGGTTTTTTGTCAGATTCCCTCATCAGATGCCATATGTATTCATTATCTGTTAAAAATTTATTTTTTAAAATTAGTGTGCAGCCCAATTTATTTCCTCAAATTCTATGTTTACAGTCATTCCATGTGGCGTATCCACATAGCTCCCTTCTTTAAATAAAAGGAGGTACAGCTCCTGCCGTGGTTAGGGCTGTCTTAACATACCAGCAGGACATGTGGGAACACGGTAAGAGGGTACAGGGACGATGGGCATGAGAGGGGCAGGGCTGGGCTACCCGGTGGGCTGAGCACGTGTGGGCACCAGAAAACCTTCCTGACACTGAATACCTCAGAAACAAAATAACACTGGGTTCCCGTACACTTGCTCCAAGTTCATGGAGAAAGGGGGCCACTCCCTGTAGGGCTCGGGGTCTCTACATTTCAGCCTCAACCTGGGCCTGGGCCCACCGCCACTTACACCTTCATCGAAGGTGTTCTGCGACCCTGCTCTGGGCCCCACGCTGCGAACTGGAGGGGGACAGAGGAGAGGGACGGCCGCTCGCCTAAGCAGCTCAGTCCACGAGAGCTCCTCGTTTCAAAATTTTCCCTTTTTAAAATATTTTTATTGATTTCAGAGAGGAAGGGAGAGGGAGAGAGAGAAACGTCAGTGATGAGAGAGAATCATGGATCGGCTGCCTCCTGCACGCCTCACACTGGGAATCGAGCCCACAACCCGGGCATGTGCCCT